AAATTTTGTCTCAGTCGAGTCACTTTTCCAGCTCATGCTTGATTTGCTCTAGGACCCATTTGCTTGTCTTTTTAGCAGTCCACAGTTTCCTCCAACACCACATTTCAAATGAGTAGGTTTTCTTCCTATCTGCTTTCTTCACTGTCTACCTTTCGCAATCATATATATAGAAACTGGAAATATAATGGCATGGACCATCCTAACTTTAGTATCCAGTGACATATCTTTGCACTTGAGGAACTTGTCTAGTGCCTTCCTAGCTCTTCTATACAACCATTAAATGTACAGAAGCCCTTTCCAGGTTTCAATCTGGCAACCCTTGCACCACTGCAAACTGTGTACAGGATTTTGTGCCAGATTTTGTATTTAAACCAACCAGTTGCTCTCCTTGTGGGACCTGATGAAAGCCTGAATGGGTCCCCAGCCTTCAAGTGGCAGTGAATACCTTGCTTAAAACACAGAAGTCAAGATCCTGCCTCATGCTTGCACAGCACCAGTTCCCTGACATTGTATAACCAAATGCACAAATGAGCAAACAGATTGCACAACCAAATGCGCACCATCTGCTTGCACAATGGCATCTGTTTGCAGTGCACACCCATGTGCAGCTCTACTTCCACACATCTGAACCCAAATACAGATATTCCACCTAAGACAAAATTGCACAACTGCTTCCACGGGGGAAACTTACACATGAGTAAAGCATCATCAGGAGAATGCCCCCATCCCTTTGCAAAAATTATCTCAACCAGAGAGCGCTTTTCCATCTAGCTTGGACCCCATTTTCTGACCTGTTTCTGACATCAGTTCTGGGCAAGCAAAAAGGAGAAGGTGCAATTTGGGGGAAATTAGCCTTCTGAAGCATTGGCAGCCACTCTTCCGTGGCCTATGAAGGCAGAAACCTTCCAAACACCACAAAGAATTGGGCACAATCAAGGCGTTGTGTTTCTAATTAAAGCTGGCTATGAGAATAGCAGGGAAACTTGGCATGGACAAAAGTTCTGAGTTTAAGGATGAACCTCTAGATTGAATGCAGAGCCTGGGGGCCTCCAGATGCTGATAGACTGTAGCTCCCATCATTCCTGACCAGCAATGCCAATGGCGAGGGATGACAGCTTCTGGAAGGCTGCCTATTCCCCATTTCCTTGTTCTAGAACCAGAGATGGTAAAAAGTGACTTTGAGGGACTCCAGCATCCACAACCCATGAACCAGCAAGGATAGTGGTCATGGAGGCTGGGGGATTTGGGGAGTTGTAGCCCCAAAATGTATCACAATAGCTGCATTACTGCTGTTGATTGACAAGAATGTCAGTTCCTTTTCTTATAGTGTTGCACTTTTTTAGCCAAGACTCGCTTGGATTGCCAGTCATCAATGGAGATGCGTAGTGGTTTGAGCACTGGACTATGACTCTGGAGACCAGGATTCAAATCCTGGCTCAGCCATGTAAACCCAATAGGTGACCTTGAGCAAGTCACATTCTCTCAGCCTCAGGGGAAGGCAATGGCAAACTGCATCTGAAGAAACTTGCTAAGAAAACCCCATGATCTGTTCGCCTTAGGGTTGCCACAAGTCCTAAATGACTTGAAGGCACGCAACAAGAGCAATAACAATGGCTACTGAACCACTGCACACCCAATACTATTATTTTCTATACAATTTTCACACAATACTATCATTTTCTATATAAATTTCATTGTGTTCATGGAAGTCGTGTTACTTAATGTGCCGTCACCTGTCCAGCCTGGATGGCAAAGTGATGTTAAAGTTTTATAAGGACTACTGTACTTTTAATTAGTAGCTTTCTCTTTGCCCTTTTCTGCCAAAGAAGATATTTGTGGCTTTTCATATAAATATGAGTTTTCCTGGCAAGGGAAAAAAAAAAAGCCTAAACATTTCAGAGTTTTCCTTAACTAGTCAAGTTCTTACTCCTGAGATGGGAGTTTCAGCCAAACTGTATCTTTTTAATGGATGTGATTTTGCCATTGCAATCATAGAGAATAATGCATTGAATTAATGAGCAATTCTTGGACTTTGAGGAACAGGAACTGACTAATTAAAGGCAAACCAGAAAGGCCACAGTCAGGCAAATGACCCAGAAGAAACAAATTAGACACTAGTTTAAAAGAAAGAAACAAGGAGGGTTGCAGGGAAGAAGCCACAATGTGCCCAAAGAGGGTTGCTTCTGAATAAACCAGAGCTTTAAAAAGTTACTTTTTAAGGACTACAACTCCAGTGGACAGAATATCTGGGGAGCTAAGTCCAGGAAAGTGATATTTCACAGCTTGGTTTTCCTCCCTACACCTCTGTTCATTACCCAGAGCCATGAAAGATAAACAGTCCTTATATACCCAGCATCACCAGCTGTGTAGCACATCCCATCATCCACTTCTACAGAGCATATACAAAATATCTGGCTAGCATGCATGGCAGGACCTATGATCCTGACAGAGTTTCTTACCATATTGCAAAATGATCACATTTCTGTAAAAAAATAAATAAATACATAAATAGCCATCATGGATAATCTGCTTTTTTCCTTTCTAAATGGAGAAACAGCACCCAAAAATTGGTGTCCCAGGTTCAAACCACATTGATTTCTGAAACAGATAAAGGCATCCAACCTTGCTATGTTTTGGATCCTTTGACTGAGATCCTGCATTTGAGTTGTGTCGCATAAATCTCCCCCCATAACTATGGAGTTATGCACTGATAGCAACAAATGAATTGAATGGCAGGCAATGTTGTGGAACTGACTGCGTGTCCAAATGCCCACCTGAATGCACAACCCAATGTGTATGTGCATGCAATCCATACGTGTGATGCGTACACACCTGCACATCTGCATGCATTATGGCCCTGCATGTCTGACACTGCTTCTGCAACTGTGAAGTGCATGCAAACATTCCACATCATACAAATAAAATAAAATAATAATCCATCTGTTTCCACAGGGAAATCAACATGTGTGTAAGATACCCACAGATTCCCAGTCTTTGTGCAATGCAGCAGTGGAAGAAGATCTGCCAATGGAAGGGATGTCTTTGGAAGGCAAGAGGGATTCTCAGCTGCCGGTGTTGCCAAAGACTCATATTCTCACGGTGGGAAAAGGACCATTTGCCATTCCCAGTGTGATCTCCCCATCAACTTAAACACAGGCCAGTCAGCTTCAATGGGCTGGGAGTAATTTTTGGTGGTGGAAGGGGGCAGAGAAGGGAAACCTTTTGCGGGGACTGAGACAGTGGTGCTTGTGAAGCTGCCAAAACTCGGGGAGGGGGGTCCCTCACGTCAAAAACATCCTCTCCTCCACAAACTCAAAGGTTTGCAATGTTAGATGGCTAGCTTGAAAGCCAGCAACAAGCCACCGGCTTTCTCCCAGGCCCAGGCTGGCCCAATAGTTGTCTCTTGCATTTGTCCGGGAGTTGCATTGACACCAATGAACTGGAAAGCTCTTTCCTGGCTCGCTCTGTCCCACGCTTACATTATAAGCAGATCAATGGGGAGGGGGAAAAAGATGGGGCTTTGGGGAGGCAGAATATATTTTTTTAAACCCTCTCTCTGTGTTTTTAAAAACTTGGCTTGACCTGGCCGGCAGGCCAGACTGTTCCAGAAGGATTATCTCATTGCCGATGCAGGAGGGGAGAAAGCTGCCGGAGCAGAAAGGGAGGCTGCCCAAGGAAACAGAGGAGGACTTAAGGAAGGCAAACCCAATGGCTTATGATCTGCGCCTGTTGAATGCAGGCGGTGGCTGCTGCTTAAAATGGCCAAGCTGGCAGGAAAGAGTCTCAGAAGGGTCTCACCGAGGGTTGCAGAAATACCACACTTCCATAGGCAAGACTCAAGCACCCCATGGCCTTCTTCAAGGCCTGTCCCTTGCAAAACAAGCTGCACCTGTTGAACCACAAGGATTTGCTTTGCAGCTTGCAGGCATCAATCACACCGGCTTTCTTCAGTGCATGCCTACTGCAAAACAAGCAGCGTGTGTTGAACCACAAGGATTTCAAGCTGGCATCGCACCGGCCTGGTTGAGACCTCCATTGCTTAACTTCATCAGTGGATGAAGATTATCTGAAGGCATGGACCCCAAGGACTGTATTCTGCCCTACAAGCCTGCCCAGAGGTCTTTCGGGGAGGACCGGCTCTTGACCACAACCTTGATCACATACTTTCATGCATGGGGGAAAAAGCAAATATTCCTATTCTTTACACAAGAGTTAAATCTCACTTCTACCTTGACAATGGGGCAGTGGGTGAGATCAAACCACTGCACCACATTGCTTCTCATCGCATCAGATTTCTTCAGAAGAGAAACTGTTTTGATTTGGGCAATTAATCCTCTACTGTCCCATTTTCTCAGTTGCTTTTAAAATGTCCCAACTTCTCTCTCCTTCCCCCACTTTCACCCTCAGCTCACTTCAGTTGCTGCAAACTGAGTCCAGAGTGAAAAAAGTACTTTGCAGTCAATTAACTCAGTGGGGAGAGAAGAGAGGAAAGCCAGAATCTTGCCTTTCTCAGAAGGCTCAGGCAAAAGCAAACAGCTGCACCTTCTCCTAGTTTGTCTGTTCCTCTTTATTAATAACTTTTTATCACGTTGACCACACTCTGATGTTGCATGATCACACTTGTCCTGGTTCTCATCTGTGAAATGTTGCAGGTTATGGGATGCTTACTGAACCAGTGTAGTGTAGTGGTTTGAGCACTGGATTATGATTCTGGAGATGAGGGTTCAAATCCTGGCTCAGCCACTGGCTGACCTTGGGCAAGTCACTCTCTCTCAGCCTCAATGGCAAAAAAAAAAAAAAGGAATCTTGCCAAGAAAACCCTGTGATAGAGTTGCCTTAGGGTCTCCATAAGTCAGAAATGATTCAAAGGCAAGCAACAACAAATGGGACAATTGCATAATTCAGCAGAAAGCATTGCTCCTTGAGTGTGGATTTCCACCATCGTTGCCCAATGGGCTTGAATTAGAGCCTCCCTTCTTTTGGCAACTGAGCCCCCATGGGACAGCGTGGTGGAGTGGTTTGAGTGTTGGACTGTGACTCCGGAGACCAGGGCTCAATTCCCAGCTTGGCCATGTAAACCCATTGGGTGACCTTGGGCAAGTCTCATGCTCTCAGCCTCAGGGGAAGGCCATGGCAAGCCTCCTCTGAACAAATCTTGCCCAGAAAACCCCCTGACAGGGTTGCCTTAGGGTCGCCATGAGTCGGAAATGATTCGAAGGCAAGCAAGAACAGATGGGACAATTGCGTAATTCAGCAGAAAGCATTGCAACCAGAGTAGGGCTCCTTGAGCGTGGATTTCCACCATTGTTGCCCAATGGGCCTGCGCTACAGCCTCCCTTCTTTTAGCAACTGAGTCCACCTCCAGAGAAAGAAGGCGATGGAGGCAAACCCTCCTCCGCCTGATGTGCCAGACAGCCAGATGCTCTGCCGGCAGGAAGGCGACGACGTGACTCTCCCCACGCCAACCGGCTCTGCAGCCTGCGCACCAGAACCCACTTCTGATGCGTCGACCTCGAGCGACAGATGGACGATGCTCTCTGAGCAGACTGGAGGCAAAGGACGGCTGCTTGGAACGGCAGGAGAGACCCCCCTCCAGGCCAGAGCTGGACACCAGCCACCCGGGCACAGCTCCCCGAGGCCACCCCCCCCCAAGGAAAAGCCAAAGCCAAAGCCAAAGCCTTTGGCCTTGTGGCCTCCCTGCCCTCCCCAAGGGCTGGGGCAGCCGTGACCTCCTTCGGAGGGACAAGTCCTGGCCGAAAAGATTACGCAGATTGCAGGAGGACATGATACCAATTTCAAGGGCAGGAAAGGACAGCTTGGCCAGAGTCCAGCATGCCGCCGTTTCGCTGGGCATAAAGAAAGGCAAGAGAGGCAGGCGGTCTTCATTGACAAGGGAGGGAAGGACAAGGAGGTTTGCAAAATCATGGATCAGAGACTGCCTCTCTCTGCAGACTAGAATTAAGGAGCCATCCCCTGGAAGCAGAGAAACAGTATAGTAATGGTGGGATTTAGTGTGTCCTTAACCTCTGGGACTCACTGCCACAAGATGGGGTCCTAATTCTGCACACGGGCAGGGCTGCTTTAACTGCATCAAAATGGTTTTGCTGTAATGTGTCTGGTCACTTAATATGTTCCTGGGCTGCATCTGCACTGCAGAAATTATGCAGTTTGACACTGCTCCAGTTTGAAAACGTAGGTAGGTATTTCCTCTGCAGGTCTTCTCAAAATGGCAACAGGAAATGAAGTTGTGTCTTTTCCTGCCACTATTTTGAGAGTGGCTATAGAAGAAAACGGAGGGAAGGGGGCCTGGGTTTGGAAATTGCCCCCTGACCCCCAACACTGTTGCCCACCCCTGTTGTGAAGCCCAAAGGGGCTTTTTCCACATAGGACAGCCATGTGCTAAAGCCTAGGACATATTTTTATTTATTATTTAAGGGTTTCTTCCTTCCCGTCACTACGATGTTCATCATGCCAAACCACCAGATTCACCGCCAGACTCCTGGAAGCTACGCACTAAAATATTCACATCTACCCCACAAAAATAAGAATGGCTGAGAAAATGTGGAAAACACGATTAGTAAAATGAACGGCTTGCTGACAATCGCAATGAACATTTGCAAGAGTCACTGAAATATATATAATGTGATAGCTGTAAGTAAGTCGCCAGTGGTCTATGACTCAAGTTGATTTTGCACGGTTTAATCCTGCATAAATAAGGATTGTCTTTCTTTTTGTGGCTTTTAAAAACAACAACAACAACAACAACAACGCATACCCTTGATGTCACAAAACTATTTTTATGCAATTTTATGCATCTGTAATCTTTCTATCTATATATGTTGATGTCATGTGCCTTCAAATAATTCCCAACCTATGGAAATCCCCATCAGGGATTTTCGTGGTAAGAATTATTTAGAAGAGGAGGTTTGCCTTTGCCTTCCTCTGAGGCTGAGACAGTGTGACTTGCCAAGGTCACGCAGGGGGTTTCCATAGCCGAGAAGAGATTTGAATCCTGGTCTCCCTGATTCTTAGTCTAAGGCTCAAACCACTAAACCACATTGGCTTTCATGTTATGTGCCTTCAAATGAACTCTGACTTATGGCAACCCTCTCGCATTCTTTGCAAGAATTATTCAGAGATTTGCTCCTGCCTTCTTCAAGGCTGAGAGAGTGTGGTTTGTCAAAGGTGGGTTTCCATGGCCGAGTGTGGATTTGAACCAGAGTCTTAGTCCAACACTTAAACCACTACAGCACATTGGCTCTCTCATAAAATTTAGAGATGCATCTGAGGAAGTGGACTGAGGTCTAGAAAAGCTCATGCTGCCAACTTCTTTCTTTCAGTTAGTCTCAAAGGTGCTACAAGATCTCTCTACATACTTCTAAAATGTACAGTTCATGAAATGTCAACACTCTCCCTTTCCTTTCTCCAGAGTTCTTTGAAGGAACGTTGCCTGTAACCCAGGGATGCCAAACATGGGGCCACATGGAGTCCCTTGGTCCCAATTTTGCAGCCCTCACCGCCTCCAGACTTCCTGGACCATCCTTTTCCTCTGACCCCCAAAGCCGCTATTCCTCTTTTAAATGGGTCCTTAGTTGTTCAAGCATGGCATCACTAGGGTTGGGGTGGCAGGCCCTTCCTTCCCTCTGCCTTGCCCAGACACCTGCCCACTTGGCCAGACCCAGAAAGACCTGGGCAGCTGGATGGCTGGACAGGTCAGCAGGGCAATGCTGTGCAATGGGGGAACCTCTCCCTTTTGCAGAGGAACCCTGGTTGGCAGCGGGGGGGGGGGTGGAGGGGGCAGGACAACAAGATGGACAACAAACAACTGGCCCACCGGGGGCTCAGACCTTCTCTGGGCTTTCACCTGGTGCAGGCTGCACCCCCCGTACCCCCTAGTGACGCCCCTGTGTTTGACATCGAAAAATACCCATTTTTGGGAATCCATATGCACAAGGAAGGAAGAGTCTGTACATCTTGAACGAAGCTGGCAGCCCAGCCATTTTCTATTAAATTCAGTTTTGTATTTATGAAGAATGAAACGCAGGCCTGCAAGGATGCAAAGTCCTTGGGAAAGTGCGTGGGCAGGGAGGGGAGGGGGTGCTCCCCTGATCTACAACCTTTTAAATATTAAAAGAAATTAACAGGACGTTAATATCCTAACACCACTGATGCTGCTTTCTGGTAGCTCCAAGGGCATGCGTGGGGTCAGAGTTAATCCATCCCTGGTTTGATGATGCTTTTAATCTTGATGGTGCTTCTGATATAAATTGTTTTTAAATTGTTTACATTGTACACCACCCTGAATGCTAAAGTTAGGATCATCCAAGCCATTGCATTCTCCATCACCACATATGAATGCAAGAGGCGGACAGTTAATAAAGAAGTTAGGAAGAAAATCAATCCATTTGAGAGAATGTGGTGATG